CCAACATTAACACAAGTATCTACAAACTACAGTAAATAAATCAATTTCCCAGAGAAATCTTACAATAGTTAAAGAAGTTACACTGGAACATCAAATAAACTCTAACCATCACTGAACATAAAATAACAAAACTATACGCTAGTACGCCTTTTCAAGAGTTATAAGCTAACACATTGTTTCACGGGTATTTTAGGTAATGTACAGAAGGCTCTTGCCTGTTTATAGAGCCGGACGTAGACTCTGACCCGAAGAAAGCCTCACTCTAGAAAAGTAGGAGTGGTAAATTTAATCAAACCTCTACTATAAACGGACGAAGACTCTGACCCAAAGAAAGCCTCACTCTAGAAAAGTAGGAGTGGTAAATTTAATCAAACCTCTACTATAAATGGACGTAGGCTCTGACCCAAAGAAAGCCTCACTCTAGAAAAGTAGGAGTGGTAAATTTAATCAAACCTCTACTATAAATTAACGTGGAATACGGTATGGCTTTAAGATCAAAATTAATGTTAAGTTGTACTTTTGTTTTTACTCGTAAGTTAGCATTTGAGTTTTTCTTTGGGACATAGTTTATAGTATACACAGCTTTCTAAAAGTTCTGTTTTTTTTTTCAGAAACTGGATAAACATGACTGGTATTGTTTTGAATGCCACAAAAGTGGGAAAGTATTATTGTGTTCAACATGCCATAGAGTATATCACAAACTGTGTGTAAGAAGACCTCCGTTGACTGTACCCTTTATTTGCAAGATATGTAAGGTAAGAGCTACACATATGAAATATAACCTAAAGATTTGGGAGTTCCATCATCAAAGATATTGTTAATATTACTTCCTTTCTTAATACAAGTCTGTACATCAGTTTAACACAAAAATACGATACCCTATGTCAAGTGATTTCAAATGGTCCACCTTTTGAAAGAGCTCGGTTTATAGGGCATCGCACTTTTGTGTTAAACTGATTTCTTGAATTTGTATGTGTTTTTCTTGCATCTTTACATGAGGTTTTATACTTTGGTATAAGAATTGAGTCCATTCTTGATTTCAAATATTAAATCACAAACCACACTCAAATCTGTGTATATATAAAAAATTCATTGTGTCACAATTATCACAGGAAGGTGTCAATTAATTAAAAATATTTGAGACATTTGGGGCTACTTATTATCCCATGCCTCTGCCTGAAAGTGGAAGGGATAGAAATAATGAAATAAAATTACGTTCACTCGAGAGAAAGTTATCAGGATGATTACATTCTCTCATATAGAGTTGCATTCCCTCATGAATTGTTTTTTTATTTAATTCATGCAATATGTTCACTTTCATTGGTCATAACTAAAGGAATACAGATAGACAATGACTTCCTGATTGGGAAAGCCAACTAAAAAGGTGAAATTCCTCAAGCAAACTTAAATTCCTTGGGAATGCGGGAAGGTAATATTCCGATTCCTGGGTGGGACTACTTATTACCTGGTGGTTCTATCCAATGCAGGATATTTGAGTATTTTTAAATGACTACTATAAGTTAGAAATAATTTTGTGTGTTTACTTTATGATAATAAAAAAAACCCTTGAAGGAAGGATACAGGGTGCTATTAGTATGTATGACACACTCATACATAGAAACCAATACACAATAAATGGCTGGGTAGGGCCACCCGTGCCTACATCATTTTAACAAACAAGCTGCTGGATAATCCAATTAAAGTCGTTATTTGTTTTTTTATTACACCCTGTTTACGTGTGAAAGCTGGACTAATCAGAAGTAACCAATAAACCAGTCACCTTCTTTACAGCTCACTCAAGAATATACAAGTCCATCTGTCTTATTACTGATAGTTGTACAACTGAGGTCTTGGCATAGACAAGAAACCAGGGGGCATCAACGAGCTCATCTGTTAGTTTCATGGAAGGTATACTACGAACAAGTATCCAACACCTGTCTCAAAATGGACAGTTACCGTGTGAAATCATCATGGTTCTGGATTATCAAGAATGCTGATGGTGGTATTAGAACTGTAGTCACCGATTTCTTATTTGAGTATTTATTTAATCTATTGGAAGAAATTTTACGTAAAAAAGGGTATATTCTTTCCGCACAGTTCTGCATAGTTTCTGTACATACTTAGTAATACTCTCTTTTAACACCTAGGATGTAAAATCATTTCTAAACAAACAACATAAAAACATACTCACAATGCTTCCATTTGTCAGTTTATAAGCATGTTCCGAGACACCTTCTATTTCAACACATTGCTGCATAACAAGGTCATCCGACACAGCATAATTCAGTTCTTGGAACAGCTTCTCACAATCAATTTCATGATTACGAGAAACGTTACTTGAAATTCGAGTACAAGTTGGTTTCTGTTTTCGTTTCTTGATTATGCTAATTGCGTTCCAGATATAACGTACAATATGAGGAGTTGAAAGTCTTCTCGTTTCCTCAATCATAGTTTTCCTGCAAAGTTATCAAACAATTGATAAGTTAAAAAAAAAGAGAAGAGAGGTTTTAATTGTTTAATAAGCATAATTTCATTGTTCAGAATACATAAAATTCTTATCATCATGGCACAGAATTGCAAGAAATTTTACTTTTACCAAGATGTGTTTTTTCTTATAGAATTGCCATATCGAGCTATCTGCTGTGTCCACCGAGGGGAATCGAACTCCTGATTTTAGCATAGTAAGTTCGAAGACTTATTGCTCTCCCACCAGGAGACCTTTTACCAAGAATATTTATTGAAAATTAGATTGTGAAACATGACTGGTAGAGCTTTTCTGATTTTTCTTTGTGCAAATTCTTTGTTGTGTTCTCAATTATGTTGAAATTCGTAGATACACATAAATTTCCAAACACATTATTGTTATTACTAGCTTCCATAAGATATTTTAACAAATATTTGCCAGTAAAATATATTTGCGATCAGGGAAAATAAAACTATAAAAAAAATGTGGATGTTAAAGACATTTAATCACAATATGAATAAATTAACTTTGTTCAGATAAATGTGTAAGTAACAAGATATATATATATATTTGACCGAAGTTATTCTATATTTAAAAAAAAAAAAACTCAAAGAATTTTGATACCACATCTTTGATATCTGCATATTTGAGTGAGACCAAATTTTGAAAATATTTCAAAATTTTTTAATCACACAAAATATAATGCTTACATTTACCATGTACATGTTTCTCAAAAAGGCCAACAAAATCAATTTTTTGGCTTGTTCTGTACATGCTGAATATTCCCAAAGCAAAAAAAAAAAAATTTAAAAAGACACTTTTGTTGATATTAAATTTTGACTTTTGTTCACTAAACAACCACATACAAAATGAAATGTTACAGGTAACTCGTAAGACCACGAGTTTCAAGTGACTAAGCTACAGTGTGCAAAAAATGGTTCCAAGTTATGACTTTTGGTCAGGATATTTGAAAGATATTACATTCAGCAACAGTACTAATTTGTCTAGTAATATATAAACATTATTCATAAATATATTTGTTATTAGTAATTTCTACATTACAATGACAGACGTTTTATAAATTAATAAAATAGTTGTTTGAACCTACTTTAGAAGTTAAGCCATTAGGCCACAGGTATGAGTTTCTAGCCTAACTAAAGTTAAACTTAAGTTCGTTTTGTTATACCACTAATACTAATATGAAATAATGCATCTCAAACACGAGTCTTAATTATTCTTTTAACAGCTGTTAACTTATGCATTACAAAACAAACCTTTCGAAATGTTACAAATAAATAATATTAATTATCGTCGTTTCATATCAAACTTACGTTAAAGCTTATGCTACTTTTTTTTTTCACAAATTCTCTCAGTCTCAATCACTAAGGACAGTAAAGTCTAAGATAAAGGAACATAAAAACAAGTTTATTCTTGCTAATATTAAGTATATTATTAATAATAAGGTTTAGTCCTGGACTACTACTACTACTACTAGCTTGCCGCTCATTTTCAAATATCCTAACACTAGCGAAAGCACGAACGAAGTTCCGATTGTGGAGACTGGAAAGTGAGTTATGCTCACAACTGTGTTAGGCCTAGTCACATATTATTACCTTTTTTGTTTTCTTACTAATATTAGCATTATTAGATATACAAACAAACCTATAGTAACTAGCAGTATATGGTGATGTATTAACTATTTGTACGAATCGTAGTAGCACTCACTAGCAGCACTTCTGGTTCTATAACATGGAAATAAACAGGACCACGATAGTTTAAAATATATACGCAGTGAAAAACAAATTTTGAATTAAATATGGTAAACCACACGATATGCTGTACGGTATTGTTATCAAGTCTCGCGAGAAACATAAGTAGGACCAACAAAAACAGACAGGACTATCATTCGTAACCTCCCTCTTACATATTACCCTCTAACTAGGACTTACGCGGCTAAGTTGGATTACAAAATATGTCAAGTGGGCGGGCCAGAAAGTCACGATTGTGGGGATGTTTTCTTAATTGAACAAGAGTAGGAATAGGATAATTCTAAAATTGCAATAATATGTAAGATTATTTATTTACCTACTCAATCATCGAAACCACTCCTACAACTATTTTACTGTGTGTTGAAGTCAGCTTTTACAAAAAGGCACAAATAAGCGATATAAGAATTTAACAAGTCCCCCCAAAAAAACCTTTGACAAACGACTCTAAAAACATTAAAACAACTTTTTAAAAAAGAAGCACAGTTCCGCTTATTATAAGAGAACTTGGCATATCTGCTGTAGAGTATAATTCTATGTGTTTGGTTATACTACAAAGGACAAATAATATTTTAATTTAAAGATGCTTGTTATAGATCAAATTTGCATTTTTACCTCACAAAAAAAATGTTTGTTTACCATCAACATTTCAGCAGTTTTACACATTTGAATATTGTTCTCACACCACAGAATCTAATTTTAAACTGTAAAAAATGAAATAGCAAACTCAATATTTATTTGAAATGCAAAATAAAACGTAAAATAAATATTTTGGTAGTCTTTACTTCGCTGAAGTAAAGAAAAAGAAATCCAATGAATTAATACTGTT